AGAGTTGAGGGTCCATATCTGGGCTCTCTGTTCTGTTCCATTGGTCTATGTGTCTGTTTTTGTGCCAGTACCATGCTGTCTTCGTGATCACAGCTTTGTAATATAGCTTGAAATCGGGCAACGTGATGCCCCCAGCTTTGTTTTTCTTTTTCAACATTTCCTTGGCGATTCGGGGTCTTTCCTGATTCCATAAAAATTTTAGGATTGTTTGTTCCAGCACTTTGAAAAATGATATTGAAATTTGAAGCACTGGGGTGTTAATTGATAATTTTTTTTTTTAGTCATCTAGTATTTTGTTACCTTAAGAATACTTCTGTTGCTGAGCTTTTGAAACACAAAGCTGATTTTACTCTATGCCTCAGTTAACCACTTTGTTATATTAAAACAATAAAGTCCTAAGTCTCTAAGAGTTGCTGAAATATATTTTTAAGTGTGGAAGAGAAAAGCAAGGCAATTTAATTTACTCTTCTGGTTTGGCAAATGACTAAAAAGAAGGAAACTGTAAGTGCTTGAAAATTGCTGTATATACCCTTGGCTGTCATGTTTTTCCCATTATAAGTGAAGAGATATTGGGTGTAAGAACATTGTTCATTGTATACAAATAGAGAGCATTCTTACTGTTGGGTGCTATCATACACATACAGTGTGTGGATAATTTTTGCCATAATGGATATGCCATTTCAGTTATTAGATTGAAGGTTTTTTTTAACCTAAAAATGGGTGAGCATAAATGAAGTTAGAATATATGTATGTGCTCAAAAAAGTTGGAAATGAGTGAGATCTGCTATAAATATTATGTTGTCCTCATATCTTAAAGTCTGATGTTATCATTTGTTATTCATAGTCATTTGCATTTGGTTGTTTTAGAGAGGTTTTCTACCAAGATAATATGAAAATATTAATATATCAATATTAAAATACTAATAAAACATGGGTATGTTACAATATGGACTTCACAACAAATAAAAAAATGCATTACACGCAAGTCTCAAACTATTTGGTTAAAGATGTGGAGCACCTGTAGAATGGAAGCAATTATTTTTGAAGAAAATTTGTTAACTTCTATACATTTTTTATTTTACCTCTGCCTATTTAGCTCTCTTTACAAGGTTATGTCTTCCGAAGAACCCTTAGAAAACGACATTTTCTCCTTGGCAAGCACAAACAGAAGATGTCAGTTAAACAAGATTGAGAACCTATCTCACCTTTCCTGGAGTTACATGGAAAAAGGGTGAAATTTAATTTACATTGCTCTTTGTTTACATATTCTAAAAAAGCTTGCTCTCTGAACCTCAAATCTCTAAATTCAAGGTTCCTAGTGATTTGAGACTAATAAGCTCAAAGTGTTTGTGAACCCCAGAGAAAGCCTACTCCTATTATTTTCCCATTAAAAAAGAGCCCCAAGGGATATAGTTTTATGCAGATAAATGTTGGATAAATATCTGATCTTCTGGGCATATTTGAGCCCACATTATGAATCATGCACAGTTCTGTCAACCCTGGTTAGGGACCAAAGTATTCAGTTTTTCATCTTTATGCCTGTCTTTTCCAGAGTCTCTTTGTCTTTGCTTTAAGCACATCTAAACTCAGTGGCACATGTTGTAATCAAGCTCAGCGTTGTAAAGGAATGAAAAGCTGGACAGTTGAACGCAACTGCTGATATTTCATGCAACACTTGCCCTTTATCATAGCACTCGGCCGCCCAGATCAGCACGATGGGTGTGAGCCGTGTCTGCTCTGCCATACTGTCTGTCCTCAACTCAGGGCTTGTGCCTGTGGTTTACTGCTGCCACACGGCTGGCCTCGTTATTTCCTAACCCAGAGCCCTTTCTTATTTCCCTCTTAGCTCCTGAAACCTTCCCTCCTGCATGTTTCCTTTCCTTTTACTCTGACTCTCTAACAGCTGAACTACATAAATGCCAAGTAGCAACATGAATTCCTAAACAGAAGCTGCCATAAAACAACGCTGCTCCAACCAAGAAACACACATGTAGAGGCCCATGACTGACAGGGCTCAAAAGGCAGGTTTTAGTAAATGACAAGTGTGAAGTTCTTATTGTTGCTGTAGTCGGTGGAAGCTCATATTTACACAAAAAAATTCATTCACATTTCAGAACAATTCAGTGTAACTGGCAGCTTGGGAAAGAAAAGACTTAAAATCTCTTAAAGATGAAGAAGACAGGAGTAGTACAGAATCCAAAGCATTCTCTCACTTTGGAATATGTTAGCATCTTTTGATTGGGTTTAAAACTAGGATTTTGGAAAAGCAGCAGGAAAAGTTGAAATTATAAATTATTTTTGTTAGGAAAAAGAGAGAATAAGAATGAAAAGAAGAGCTGTTCATCTTTTATTTATTCTAAGCATAATTCCATTCAGTGTTAATTAAGTAAAAGTCTAAGGAAGTACGTTATCCTTTTGTATATACTCATTGTCATTACTACAGAAAGATCTGTGGTTATCTAGAAATACAGGAAGGAAATATCATGTGATGTAAGTCCTTTGTGATCAGTGTTATAATAATTGCTAATAAAATGCCATGAAATATATAATTTGAACACTGCTTTCCAGCAGTTAGAATAATGTTATAAGGTGTCTTAAGAAAGGACAGGACATTATTCTCTATGTATCCTGTAATAAATCAAGGGTAGAAATATTCTGGCTTCTGCTCTATTTTCTTCCACTACTGGTTAAGAAACCACTCAACTAACAAAAAAACTTAATAAGCTGGAAGGAATCTCAGAAAGTACCAAATCCAAACCTTTCATTTTATAGTTGAGAAAATAAGCTCAAAGAGAATAAATACCTATTCCTTTAGTGTGACACCCTCACTAATTTTCCATCAAATTACTTTCTTCTTCATCTCATGCAGTTGGGTATGGCCTTGTGACTAAGTTCTACTTGATAAAATGTGATGTGCTTTACTACTAGACTAGGCCCATCAGAATTCCCTGCTGGATTCTCCAGGCTCCTTACCTTCTACTGACCCAGAGCAAAGGAAGGACTCAGAGGCCCCATGATGTAGTATAGCTTCAAGAGAAGGAAGCCTGGATCTCTGGGTCCATGTGGGGAAGGCAGCTGCCCTTTAAGGCTGTTCTATGAGTGATTAGTCAACTTACTTCTTAGGCCAATGGAGTTTTGAAGTATACCTAATAAATTAATTGGTGTTAGTTTAACAACAAAATACATACTTAGCAGAGCCAGCTTTTCTTTTTTAGTCAAGGAAATTAAATCAGAGACTTAAAAGTGCTGTCGTGGTCAGAGAAGGAATACTGCTAGTGGCCTAATCATCAACCTTGTCTTGGAATGACAAGTTTCAGCCTTCATCCCTGTCTATTAGCACCACGTCTTCAAGTATTCCTTTTTTTCGCGTCTCAATATTATAACATTATACTGGACTGTTCATCATTTGAACTTTGATTATAACAAGG